TCTCTCTCTCTCTCCTTGGATTGAGCTCAGTGTTTTAAATAACATTTGTATTTATCCATCAAGAGTTCCCACAATGATCATCATTCCCTTCCCCTGGATCCCCTTCCATCTCCCTACCCACCCACCTCCCGCCTCTCAAACCAGTGAACCAGTGAGTCTGGTTTGTGTTGGCTGACTTCTGCTGAGCAGGGGGTCTGCCCTTGGAGTGTGGTTGGTATACCAGATGTCACTTCCTCAAAGAAACTGACTTTCCCTCCCCCAGTACCAATCAAATGTGAAATAACTCCTTGGCTGGGTGTGGAGTTGCCTGTCCACTTCCTTTCTCCATGCTGTCATGTTTGAACTTGTGTGTGTTGTCATGGTCACTGTGAATTCATATGTGCTTCAGCCCTTTATGTTTGGAAAATGGTATTTCCTTGAAGCTGTTCCACTCTGGCTTTTAAAATCTCCTCCACTTTCTTCTTCAGAGATTCCAGAGTCTTGAAGGGAGGAATGTGATGTAGACATCCCATTTAGGGCTATGAATTCTGTCTCTGTGCTTGCAGAGTGAGCACATTGCCAACTGAGCTATCGCCACAACCCCAAGAAGCAGTATGACACATCTTGTAGTGGCTCTTCCTCTCCAAGACAGTGCTGAGGACTGCTACAGGTCATTTGTCCTTCCTTCCTTCCTCCCTCCCTCCCTTTCTCCCTTCCTTCCTTTCCTTTTATTGGAAAAAATTTTTTTTCTCACATAATATGTCCTGATTATGTTTTCTCTTTCCTCTTCTCCTCCCAGTTCCTCCCCACCTCCCTTCCCATCTGGATTCAGTCCCTTTCTGTCTCTCATTGGAAAACCAATAGGCTTCTAAGGGACAATAATAAAATAAATATGGGTATATTCCCAAGAGTGGTATAAGCTGGAACTTGAGGTAGATCAATTCCCATCATCCTGAGGGACTGCCACACTGACCTCCATAATAGCTGTACACATTTGCAGTTTCCTCAGTGACACGCCTCCTCCAAAGACCATACTTCTAACCCTTTCCAAACAATTCACCTACTGGAGAACAAGTGTTCATAAACGAGCCTGCAGGGCCATTCTCATTCAAAGTGCCATTCTGTTCATAGAGGCATAAAGCAGACTATCTCTGTGGTCTTCAGTTTTGACATGTGCTACCAGGTTAATGAAGGGTGGCTTCTAGCCAGAGCCTCACCTCGGAGCAGCTCAGCATCATGCAGGTGTGGTTATGCAAGAAACAGACATTTGGTCATTTGGTATGGTCTGTTTCTGTGGAGAAAACCTGCAGGACAATGGCTGGTCTGGCTGTGGTCAGTCTCTGGGCCCTGCCTCTGTGTCCTGTGGGAGCTTGGGCAAGGTATACCAGTTCTCTGGCCTCAGTCCTCACACCTATAGGTTAAAGAGCTTTATTTTAACTCTCTGCAGACCCACACTTCTGGGTTAATTGATCTAGAGAGAGACTGGGGTGGGTGTGGCTCTTTATTGCTGCTGTACAGCCTGGGCCTGGGACTGGTACAACATCACCAGGGAAGCGCTCTTAGTATTGAACCCTCTTCCCACCTGCAACTGATATAGGGCCTAAGACGCTCTTTTTAATTTATCAAATGATATTTCTGTTTGTTGACTTTGTATATTTGAATGCCTGCCAGAAAATTTATATAGAGGTTAGAGGATAGCTTACAGGAGTTAGTCCTTAATAAATTTTCTGTATTTCAATAATAGGTTTCTCTGTGGACACAGTAAGCCATATCAGACCAAACTGAAAAAGTAAAAGAACAGGTTTATTTGAGCAGAGCAACTCCCAGGTGAGTTCTCCAGCCCCAGAGATCGGGCCAGAGAAGTCACACATCTAAACTGAAGCAGGGAGCTTATATACCCTGTAGGTGAGGGGTGATGGTGTGTCCACCATACTAAGCACTTGAGGTGAGGTCTTGGGCTTCTGGCAGCTTTAGGGGAGGAGCTGCCATAGCCACCAAGAATATGGAACCGAGCTTTTTTGGTGCCTTTTCTTTCTTTGAGGTTCTCTGAGAGGGTGGGGTTTGGAGAGAGAGAAATGGAGCAAGGAATGAGCAGAAAGCTCCAGCTGAACGCTTTTCTCCTTCTGCATACGGGTCCCAGGGGTTAAGGGTTTTTGCCCACTGAGCCATCTCACCAGCCCAAGAAGCTCTCTCTCTCTCTCCCTCCCTCCCTCCCTCCCTCCCTCTCTCTGTCTCTCACTCTCTCTCTCTCTCTCTCTCTCTCTCTCTCTCTCTCTCTGTGTGTGTGTGTTTAACAAGTCCTAGTGTTTTTTTTTTTGTTTGTTTGTTTGTTTTGTTATTTTGGGGTTTTTTTTCCCCCAGACAAATGTGGGGACTGATGCAGAGACAGTGACTTTTCCAAGTCACTTAACTGATCACTTGCTAAGTGTACTTGACTCTGGAAAGGGAACATGAAAAGCATCCTCTTCTGAGTATGCTGGCTCAGGCCTGCAATTCCAGCACTTGGGAGAGGAAAGCAAGAGAGCTAGGAGTTTTAGAACAGCCTCGGCTACAGTGTCTACCATGAAGTTACGGGCTATGTGAGACTTTGTCTCAAAAATGAAACTAATCTTTTCCCGGGGATGGCTGCTATTGTTGGGAACACGTGCATGTTCATAATCAGGGGGGCCAGTGGGTAGGCTTCCAGAGCTCTAGGAGATGGCCACCGGGACTTAACAGTCCCTGATGGATTGTAAGAGCTCAGCTGACCCAGTCTCTCCCCTCACTGATCCCTTCACATTCTGCCTAAAATGTGGTCTTGTTGAATATGGTTTTCATCAGATCAAGGTTCTGGCTACCCTGAGATCAGGACCATCAGCTTCTCTCCACCATCGCCTAGGAGGGGATGGCTTCCTCCTGCTGAGTCTCATTCTTCTCTCTGTTCTTTCATCTTCCAGAAGATCTTATGCTTCTGAAGACATACAGCAGAATTCTTTATAAACCTAGAGGACTTTGAGCTGTTAGTTTATTCCTGAAATTTATGGTACAGTGCTCTGTAATGTTTAAGAGGCCAGGGGCTCCTTTCCCTTCCCCTTCACACACACACACACACACACAAATATACACATATACACATGTATACACACACACATACATTTACATGTATACAGAGATACACACCCCACATACACACATGTACACACCATTTAAACAGGGTGTAGCTGGGTTTTGAAATGACAGGTCATACTTTACCAACAAAGTGAGTTAGTGGTTCTGATCTTTTACATCTGTTCAATCTCACACACTGATGTGTTCGCCATTTGCAGTCTAGATAGAAATACGCCACATGGAACTGCCTGTTTTCTTTGGGTATCACAGTCTCATGGATACACGTGATAAGATCCAGAATCATAGACCTCATCCTAGAGTTGTGGGTTAGAAATCACTCGGGAAGGTCTCCAGGCAACAAGATCTCTGAGTGATTTTCCTGCATGTTGGGGGTTGGGAGCTTCTGGGTTGGAGAGGAGACAGAATTCAGACAGGAAAGGATGGAGAAAACAAGGAAGAGAACACTTGATGGCACCACCCTGTCTGGATTGAAACCTAGGTTCCTCCCAAGCTCCATGTCACCTCTGTGCCTCAGCTGGCCCATCCATGAAAAAAAAATCTATCTTTGAAACTACGACATTTACCTTGTTGGTGACTGTGAGGATTGAATGAGTGACATGTGAAATACATTTGAAGAATGCCTGGGCAAGGGCTCTGGATGTGTTAGCTGTGGACATTGTTCCATGCCAGGTGAAGGACATGAACAAGGAGGGACTTTGCGAGAGAGGGAAATACACTTAGTGGTCCAAAGCTGAAGGCTCTGCAAATGGTTTGCAAGAAATTAACCTGGGAGGATTTTGTTTTGTTCAAAGAAAAGAAACATTCACATTCTCACAATGGTTCTAGGCTGCAGTGAAGCCTGGAGATCTGCATTAGATTTTTCTCATGTGTGATTGTGTGTGTGTACATGTGCAGGTGTGCATGTAGGTGTGTGCATGTACATGGATGCCAGAGACCGATGTCTAATGTCCTTCTCTATTCGCCTCAGCCATGTCTTTTTATTATTTGTACTTTTGATAATTTAACTGCAACATCTCTCCCTTCCCTTCCTTCCCTCCAAACTCTTCCATACCCTCCTCCCCATTCTCCTCCAAAATATAACCTCTTTTCTTCGCAAATTGTTATTACATGCATATATTATTTGTATATATTCCTAAATATAACCTATGAAGTCCATATAATATTACTTGTATGTATATTTTAGGTCTGACCATTTGATGCTGGGCAACCAATTGATGTGCTCCCTGGGGAGGACCATGTCTCCCACTCCCAGCTTTCCTTGGTTACCTGTAGTCCTTTGTGTAGGGTTGAGGCCTCATGGGCTTTTCCCTGTCCAGTGTGGCTTGTCCATTGGTGTCATCCTTGTTCAGCATGTTGGTGAGACTTCACAGATATAGGTTCTGATATGACTAGGATCCAGTCTCCCAGGGTATCTCTGACCTCTTACAGTCTTTCTGCCACCTCCTCTGCCATGTTCCCATCGCCTCCCACTGAACCTGGACCTTGCCAATTTGGCCTGACTGGCTGGTCAGTTATGCCCAGGGAGCCTCTGTTTTCTGCCTTTCTGGTGCTGGGTTTCTGAGTATGTGCCGCTGTTAGAAGTTTCTGGAAGTTTCTTCTTTTTAAACATGCCTTCTAAAGCATCCCAAATTCAGATCCTCAGGCTTGCTCTTTACCACTGAGCCGTCTCCCAGCCACTAAATCATTTATTATTTTTTATTTGCTTATGTGTTTATTCATGTAGTACTAGGGTATACAGGACTAGGGTACTACAGACTAACCTAGCAACTGCCTCACTCTAAAATTTAATAAAGACCAGCAAATTTTCAGGAACTCTGGTTTCATTAGAGGAGGTCTGGTATTCAAAGTTGAAAGGTTTCCTAAGATTTTAAAAGCACAGATATTAACTGCATATTTTATATCTGCTTTATTAGGCATGCCCAGAAAGTGGTAGAAGTATCCGGGAGGTACAGTGCGCATCCTACAACAACAAGCCATTCATGGGGCGGTTTTATGAATGGGAACCATTTGCAGAAGGTAAGGCAGCTGGGTCTGTTCCACTGACTCAGCTGTGTCAGTAGAAATTTTTATTATTATTATTATTATTATTATTATTATTATTATGTCATCATCATTTTATCTATTGTTCCAATTATGTCATTTTCTGGTTGGTCCTGGATATGTTCAGGTGGTCCTAGCTAGAGAAAATGTGACCCTTAGAGCAGAGTGGACTGCAGAGGTCTTCACCAATTGTTGCATAGTCCAGAACACACTTGGACTGTCCTTGACTATGAGGTGTGGCTGAAAGCAAGCAACATCAGAGAATGGCAGGAGAAGTGGGCCAGCGCATGGTTTGGGGAATGAATTGGTAGATAAAGCATGAGCAAGCTTAGAGCCAAGATTTATTTTTATTTTTATTTTTTTAAGATCTATTTTTATTTTATGTGCATTGGTGTCTTGCCTACATATGTGTCTGTGTCAAATCCCCTGTAACTAGAGTTATAGATAGTTGTGAGATAGCATATGGGTTGTGGGAAATGAACCCAGGTCCTCTGGAAGAGCTGCCAGTGCTCTTAACCGCTGAGCCATCTCTCCAGCCCTGTATTTTGTCTTTTCACCTTGATACCTGTTAGAAGGGCTGGTATGTACGCTTAAGAAAGCATGCAGATTGATAATTATTCCCACATGAGGAGACCTCTCACATCTCTTCCAAACACAGAGATAAGCCAAGGTGATGGTCAGAAGTGGGCAGAGCTTCTCAATACTGTTCTGCATACTGGAGTCAATTTAAAATTCACATAATAGCATGGAGTGTGAACTAAGCTATGTTTAGTTCTGAGATGTTTCCTATAAGGTAGTCTTGGCAGCGGTCCAGGACAGCTTATGGGGATTCTATACTGGCAGCTCATTGGCTGGAGGAGGAGTCCTACTACCTTGAAGATCTTTGCCTGGGTGTCAGTTCTTGGTCTCAGCCCAAGTTGCTGGGGTGCCCCCAAAACAAGAGTCTAAAACACTGCAATCATATCCAGGACCTTGAAAAATGCCATGGGAAGGCTTGGTACTAAGATGTGCTCATGTTTGTGGGAAATCTACTCCCTCAGGGCCAAACCAGTATCACCTAAGGAGATATTAAGGTGCCTTTCCTGTCCCTTGGTACCAGGCAAAAAGAGATGGAAAGCCAACTGCTCTGAGGATGAATACAGAATCCTTACTGTCTACATGTTTCCAGAGGAGAGTGTGTGAGTTGTTAGGTGTTCAGATTGTCCTGTGACCTCAAGGTTGTTAAGAACAAATGACTATAATTGAGATATGGTATCCAGTCAAGAAAGGTGTGTGGATGAAACATAATGCCAGTAGAATGCAAATATGAGAGAGAATATGAGGTCCTGGGGCAGCAAAGAAGGGAGGGTCCAAGGTCCTGGGAAAGCAAAGGAAGGAAGGTTCAAGTTTGGGGGAGCAAGGGAAGGGGGGCCCAGGGTCCTGGGGGAATCAGGGAGGGAAGAGTCCAAGATCCTAGGGGAGTGAGGGAAGGAGACTTAAAGGGAAATTTGAACCTCTGGATGGAAGTTGGTTCTGATCTTTTCCTTTCTTCAATGCTATGTTGAGTTCCAATATGGATCCTGAATAAGGAGGGCACTGGTGGGAAACATGGTGAAGTAGCAGCATGTGCCTAGTTCAGATGGTAGCACTATGCCAGTGTCTTAGTTTAATATAAGCCTTCCATGGTTTTATAAATAGGAACAAGTTGGGTGGGGGTAGAGAAGACTACTTTGTGCTACTTTTGAAACTGCTTTGTCAATCTAAACTGGTTTCAGATAACAAACTTTTTTCATAAAAGGATTGTGCTTTCATTTAGCTTTGTCTTATGATATCTCTGTGTGATTTTCTGTGAAGTCTTTGTATGGGTAAGGAAGAGTACACAAGACTAAATTATGTAACCCCACCCCCATCCCCTTATGTATCAATCCTAAAATCTCAGTATGCAACTTTTATTTGCAAATAGGGTTGGGCTGTTGCAGATATAATTACCTAGGCTAAGGGGGTGGGAAAAGATGGCTCAGCAGTTAAGAGCACTTGATGCTTTTCCAGAGGACTGGAGTTTGGTTCCCAGCACCTAAGCTGGGCAGCTCACAACCACCTACCACCTGTACCTCCTGTTTTCAGGGGTTCTAATGTGTTATTCTTTATTCTGAGGGCATCTGCATTTACATGTCCACATCCCCACACACAGATGTAGACATCTGCACATAACTAAAAGTATACTAAATCTTTTAAAATAATTGCCTAGATTAAGTCTATGCTGGCACTGGTGGGCTTATGATCTTTAGTGGATGGGGTTCTCATCAGAAGAGAAAGTTCACAGACATATAAAGGATACCAAGTTATGATAAAGGCAGAAATGTGCCTGCAAGCCAAATGACAATGGGACATGTAACCAAAGAGAACCATCTGATCGACCCAGGCCCACACAAGACAATGTTCTCAGCCTGAGCCACGGGGGAGCCTTCTAGAAATGTTAGAGCTTTGGTCCTACTCCTAAACACTGTGATTTAATTGGTCTTGGATTTAACCTGGGCATCTAGAGTTATTATTATTATTATTATTTAAAGATCCCCTGTGATTCGAACTGAATTGAGAATGTTTGGTTGTTTTTGTTTTTGTTTTGTTTTGTTTTTTGAGCAGTGTCCTTGCATTGTTGCTAGGCTATGTATACCAGCTATTTCATGTTATTCACTGGGAAGAAAGATGCATTCTTCCCAGAAGAGCAGAACAGCCTACTCAGTGCTAGGTGCGTGCCACTGTCCCTCTGGAACTGAAGCTGGACTGGATCTTTTTTGCTGGGACAAAGTGGTTAAGAGCTAAATGTTTGTCCTGACTCTATAGCCAGGCAGACCTGGTTGAATATGAATAGCTCTATGTAGACCGCAAAGAAGTCACAATGCCAGTATGTCCATGTGTTGCAATTATTCCTGTGGAAGCTCATTCTCACCCAATTTAAGAATGATTCTATCTTTCTTGCTTTCATCTCCTCCTCCTTTGTTCTGGGCCTCAATCAAAAACCTGGAGAAACTAGTGTAATACTCAGAGGTAGCCATGAAAGTGCTTACCATGCAAGCATGATGACCTGAGTTCACTTCTCCGAACCCATGTTAAAAGCCAAGCACAGTGTATATTTGAAATTCCACTGTTTGGAGAAGAAGACAGACTCTAGGGCTTACTGGCCAGCAGTGCTCATAAGAGGTCCTGTCTCAAAGAACCAGGTGGGTGGCCCCCGCAGTTGACTCTGGTATCCATTTGCACAGCCACATGTGTGTCTCAACCCATGGAACACACACACACTCACACATACTCACAGAGAGAGAGAGAGAGAGAGAGAGAGAGAGAATAGTATGCTTCTCCTTACTGCAAGACACATCCAAAAGAGTCCAGGATTTAGCAGCTATCTCCTACATCATTACATTGTGTTACTAGAAAATTCAGCTATCTTTTATAATATTTATAAAAATGGTGTTGTTTCTCACAGACCCACAAGGAGACAAATGGTTACAGGAGTTGCATTTACTTTGGCTTTGTTTAAATAATTCTTTTTCAGTTTTTTTTTCCTGCTAAGACTCTCCTCTTAACTTTATTCTTCTTCCTTTCAAATGACTCCCAGGCTGAGCAGTGGGAGGAAGGCAACGCTGGTGTTTCTGTGTTGTGTTCAGGCTTGACGGCTGGCTTTTGCATTGGGCTCTGGGCTGTGTTTGTATGTCTTCTGCTATTCACTTGTGCCTGCTTAGGAACACAGCTGCACTCATTCAGCCCAATGCCACATAGAATAGTAAAAGCAGAGAACAGGCTCTGATAAACACATTAATTTCACCAGATGGTTCTTCTTGGGCCTTTAATCGCATTTCCTGGATATGATGACCTCGCCTCAGATAATGCCTCTAGGAATTTTTCTCACAGCCCTGTCACAGGGTAAAAGGAAAATCAGCTTGCCCCGTGTCTTCTTTGGAGCTGTCATCTCAGCTCTTTTATTCTCATCTTTGGCTTAGATAGTTCATTATGTGGTCACCATACCTAGAATGGAACAGTTTAACAAGAAGACTTGAATATTGGGGCAAATTATATTTGCCCCATCTCTTGTTATATATGATGGATATATCTCAGGTCCCCTGTAGGTGCTAAGACATTGGATAATATCAGGTCATCATGCTACTCAGAATGGTGTGCAAGTTAAAATTCAAGAATTGCTTACTTCTAAAATTTCCCATTTAATAATCTTTCAGTTACTATTGACCCCAGAAATTGAAACTGGAAAGTGAAACCATATATATAAGGAGACACCATTGTGCCTATTTTCATTCAAGAACACTGGGGCTGCTAACATTCTGGTGTCATATTTTGTTAGGTTGTTGTAGTATAGACAGCATATACCACCTTCCCTTGTTTGCTTATTCATTCCGTGGTGCTTGGAATGGAACCCAGGCCCTCATGGGTGCTAAGCACCTTACCACTGAACTATATGCCCAGCCCAGATAGCAGTGTTAATTCATTGCCTTAAGTATACTGAGAGATGAACTCAAGAGAGTCGACTTCTGAAAGTCTGAGGTGAGGCTGAGTCAGGAATGGGAGTTTGTCCACTGACAACATGAACAAAGCAATTACATTTGATCAGGAGTGGCTAGCATATGCTGCAGTAACATCCCCGGTCCTAATGACTTAACAGAAAATTCCTCTTGCTCAGACTACATATAATGCAATATGTGTCCTACTCATTTGGAGTCCCTAGCTGGAAGAAAAAAAAGTGCATCTCAATTCAGACTTCTGAGATAGGACAAGGAGACATATGATTCCTGCACCGACTTTGTGTGTGTGTGTGGGGGGGGTTCCAGACAGGGTTTCATAGTGTAGCCTTGGCTATCCTGAAACTCACTAGGTAGACCAGGTTGTCGCTGAATTCACAGAGATCCACCTGCCTCTGCCTCCTGAGTGCTGGGGTTAAAGGTGTGTGCTGCTGCCACCATTCAGCTTCCTGCACAGATTTTTTTAAA